AACAATATCAATGAAAAGTCAATAATTTATTCTTTACTGCACTTTTCAAACAGTTAAACTTTGATTTACTAATTACGAAAAATTACAACGAAATTAAACTAAGGGTACTGTGGAAACAATTGAACTGAACTGAATAAGCAAAATATTTTATTGTCACATGACATTTGTTGAATAACTCAAAATAGTGTTTATCAGTTTTAGATTTAAAATAGTTTATTCGTTGTCTAGTGTGTTGTTAAAAATGCTGAATCTTCAAGAGAAAATTGAAATCGTTTTAATATGCGGCGAGAATACCGGTCACCGACAAATAGCTGATATTTTCAATGCCAGACATCCTGCAAGAAATATTCATCAGTCAATAGTTAGTAGGATAATAGCTAAGTTTAAATCTACTGGCTCGGTTGAGAGTAATTTTAGAAAAGCACATTTTTTGACATTGCAGTCTAAGGCCTTCTCTTATATCAGCAATGATACACATTTTCCAATTTTTTCCTTTTAAATAAAGTGAATACCAACTCAGCTATAGAGTCTGAAAAGTCGAAAACTGTTTATTGACTCCATCAATTTTTTCTGTTTTATTGAACAATATTTACCAATGTACCTATATTTTAGTGTTCTGATAATTACTAAATGAATTGTAGACTTGACAGTATTTTTTTGGGTTTATTTTAGCTTCTTCTCTATTTATTGAAAGACTCGCACCTTTAAAAAGTAATTATAATTTAATGAAGATAATATGTTGATATTCTTACCCCTTTTGGCTAGCTCTTTTGCAGTTGCCAGCCCAATTCCACTGGAGCCTCCTGTTATTATTACATATTTTCCATCTAATCGTGCCAAGCTTTCGCAATATGTTCCTCCAACATAAATTCTGCAAATCAGTTAAAAATACTATAAAAACAACTTTCTATTTCATGCCTATCATTCCAGTTTGAATTTTCTCACCTTATAGCACTAATGATGCTTATTACCAAAGAAATAATGTAAGGCCACCAGCTCTGGGAAAAAATTTCGAAATCACTGTAAAAATCCTGCATTTCTTTTTCAAAACTGACAAATAAAATAATTTTTCAATGACTAAGGTTTCGATTTGACTGCAGAGCCTGCTGCAATAAATACATGCGAACAAACGAAAGGAAATGATTAGTGAGTATATGATTTATTTACTCTAAAACGCATTTGATTATTTTTATTGTTTTAAATTAGGCGGAAGTTTTACATTACTGCGGTGTTGCTTTTTTTTTTAATGAGTGGCCACAGAGCCATATTATCCAATCTTTTGTTCTATGCATTGAAGTGAATTTGGTGTAAGGAAAAATACTCGAGAGTGGCTTGATGCGCCTCAATGGAAGCAAACCATTAACATAAAGAGAGATAGAATATACTGGAGAGGACTTTAGCCGTGTGTCTAGCTATTTTCACAAGGGGTCGTTATTTGTGACTGGCGGTTACAGACAACATCTAACGTAGAAAGGTTACATTTATAAATTGGTAGATTTAGCAAAACATCCATTTATTTTTAACACTGAATAAAACTTATAGGGAAGTAAACATCATTGATAGGTATTTAATATCCGTACAGTTGAATGGAGCCACCACTAGGAAACATTAAGTGTAATTTTACTAATAATTATATTATCTACAGCTAATAAAGTGGTGCTTTAAGATAAAAATTACTATGAGGTCCCCTACAGATAAAAAAAACATCTTTTTTGACATTAGTTTGTGGAATAAAACATTCTGTTTGAGCTGATAATACAGTGAAATCAATAGTATGGTGTAAGATTTTTCGTTAGAAGGTAATAATTATTAGTACTAATTTTTTTCTAATATTCAACTCACGAAGCCGTAATACTTCTCTTAGGTTTGGAAACTATTAAATTAATCAGCTCGACAAAACTGAAACTTTGAATGTCAAATACAGGAGATACATTGAAAACAATACGGTCACTGGAGGTTTACACATAACTAATACATAATAATTTGACCGAGTTCAATTATCAAGTTTTTATCAACGAATATGTCAAAGTTTCCTACCACTTTTCTCCACACTTCTTCTTTACACCAAAATACAATTAGGTTATGGACTCGGTATATACTTGAAATTTGTGGAAAATATCGTTCAGTGATAAAAAAAATTAATTCCAAAAATGTCAGACTGAAGTTCGGCCCTTCTTCTGATCGAAAAGTTGAAGGGATGAGAAAATTTCGATTCCTGAGTTGTGTTCGTTTAAAGCTCGGAAGCGTTCGATAATGCAGATCGGTTTTTAAACTGTTTTATTCAGCTTGCCCTGTTTGTTTGGGTCAAATTTAGTAATTGATTGCTGTTGACAGATTGACCTGATATTTGGTATACACATTTAGTTTTGATGACAACACCACTTCTGTATCATTGTGCATCTAAGATAGTCGCAGCTAAAAAATGGCGGAATACCTACATATTTTTTTACAACTAGCTCAATATGGGTATCAAATGACGGGTTGAGTAGTAGAATAGTAGTACACTTTGAAAATGATGCAAATGCAAAATGATCACAGTTACGAAATGGCAGATTACAACCGCAGCTACAAAATGATGGATTACACATTTTTTCACAACTACCTCAATATGGGTATCAAATGACAGGGCTTGACTAGTACTATAATAGTACACTATGAAAAAGATGCAAATCCAATATAATCCATGAAAAAAACTTTGTCAACTCAGAATCGGAATACAAGAATGGATCTCTCACCCAAATCAAGATTTTGTATCGTGTCAAGGAATGTGTGGCGTTAAGTTAAAAAAAGAAGTTAAAATGTGCCGAGAACTATGTGGCATCAGGGTGGATAAATTTGTATCGTGACCTATCAGATATTTCTAAAATATTTCGAATTTTATAAGAAACTGAAATATATATATGGAGGAAACGATTATGTCAGGGTGAATATTTTCTACTATTGTTAATTCATGCATGACAAATGCAGTCAACTTTATATTAATTTTCTTCACCATGTAACCTCATTTTTCAAGCCATTATTTCAATGTGATTTTGTTTAACTATTGGTATTCCATGTTTCTCAATATTTTTTTAAGAAACTGAATTATATATGAAAAAAATCAGTCAACAAATTTTCTTCACCTCGTAAACCTATGGTTCTCCATATATTTTGTGGAGAGTATATTGTTACGTTTTTCTCCGTGGATTTACCAATAATTGACTACACTGAACAATGATCAAACTTTACTTTATTTTTTATTTCACTTCAAATACAACAAAACCCTCCAACTAAAACTCCAACTATTATTCAAATGTCTGTCGCCTTATTAAATTGACCATGAAGATTCTTCAGACCGTAGGTCGGGGATAAAACTACTGTTAGAAGGGGAAGATGTTTCCGATTTGCATTTTTCCACAGTAATCCTTTTCGGGTCCGGTGATTCTTTCCGAAGTCCCCGGAAAACCTCTCCAAACTTTTTGTTGACTCCTTCTACCTTTTTTTCAGGCTCCTCTTCAATTTTCTTTTCAACCCCTTCAAGCTTTTCAACTGCTTTTTCCTGAAATACTTTTCCAAATTCTTCTTAAATAAATTTCTGTACCTCCCCTTTACTCACTTGGGAAGATTTTAAATCTTCCAATAAATGAAGGTACATCTGATTGTTTTCACGATCTTCATTTCGGCGTAATTGTTCTTCTCCTCTCCTTCGTTCATCTTCCTCTCTTCTGCGGTTTTCATTCTTCGCAAGGTCCGCTTGCAAAGCCTCGAACATTTTTTAAGCTCGTCCATCTCGTCATAATCGACATTACTTGTTTTCACCATAAAACAGAAAATTTTCAGTGAATTATTTCACTTCTGACACCGAATGTTACGTTTTTCCCCATGGGTTTATCAATAATTGACTACATTGAACAATGATGAAACTTAACTTTATTTAGCTTCAAATGTCTATCATCCTATTAGATCGCTCCGCGTACCGCACTGTCACTTGACTGTCTTGAAAGGCAAGTGGATCATGTTTTATTTGACAATCGAAGGCCGTTGAAAATTCGTCGGAATTCCATCGAAGCCGGTATGAAGACTAGAATAATCAAGGCTGCGCGCGGCCTTGACCACATTAGAATTGGTTCATGGCTACCAGTGGCGGCTGGCGTTATTTATTTTAGGTCATGATTTACAACAATATACAAAATTCAATTATTTGACGAACGCAGTCAACTTTATTTTTTCCACGCTGTAAACCTATTTTCTAATCGACTATATCAGAGTGATTGTGTTCTACTATTGATACTCCATGTTTCTCAATATATTTCCGTTGCTTAATTTTGTGCAGAGTATACAAGAAACTGAGTCATATATGGAAGAAATCAGTCAACGAAGTAAACATAATCAATGGCAATCAAACTTTTTCTCATTACACGTGTTCATTTTGGAAAGTCTGCTTACATTTAATCTCTACTGTACAAAATTCTCATTTATGATATAATCTAGGAGTGGATTTTCGCCCTCCGCTCGTTAAAGGGAGATTTACAAAAAGTGTATTTATTCATGACATGAAAAGTATCAATTACACTCATACGCCACTGAACGTTCGGAAGTATTCGAAAATTTTGGCAGCTAACATCACAAACTAGGTGGTTTGTGGCTAACATTAGCAGCAAACTTCACACTGCCGGATTTCAAAAAATGTTCGGTTATTACAAAATTCATTTCACATCAAAAATCATTTTCTTTGAATATTGTTTCAGAAGCTATAGTTTTAGATAGAAATTATATCTAAATACTACTTTGGATCAATGTTGATTTTTATATACTTGTATATATTTTTATGTTCTGACTGGATTTTTGATACCCGATTCTAACCATGGTTTTAACTATAGGATACAGAAAAAAATTTTGTCTTATTTCTTCTGAGTGTATTATTTGTTATGACCGGTTTCGGTTTGTTAGACCATTCTCAAGTATGTAAATGTCTAAAGGTCTTGAAAAATATCGTAACAAATAATAAACTCAAAATAAATACGTCATCAATCTAACCATGGTTTCGTTATTTTCTGAACTTTCAGGAGATAAATTATTTCACTACAAATATAGGTAAATATAATGAAAACATTTTTTTTATTGAACGTAAACATATAATCTGAAAAAAAATTTGACTGATAGATGTTAAATGTTACCTTAACCTGCAAAATATTGGACAAATAGAAGTCAAATGTTAAGATTGCGCTATAAATTTTTTGAGACCGGTTTGTGCCAACTGCGAAAAATATAATATAACTTTACATTCTTAACAATCGAAAATTGCGTGATTCGGACACATTACTGCGCCTTATCTCTTCACGACACTTTCAAATTCAATAACACGAGGCTCGTGATCAATTTTGTAAACCTCAATATTGAACATACACAATTGTTATGACATGTCGTTCTTTGTATTCCGCGAATTTTGAGTTCTGTGCTATTTTCATTACAAAAAATGTTTTTAATTTGTGATTTTTTTGTGATTACCTTAGGTTAGTTATTTTATTCGAATGTGTTCGTGTACTATCCGAATTTTCAGAATCTATTTGGAACTAAAATGTCCATAATCGGGAAAGGGGTAAGTCGACTTTCAAAACGTTCCGATTTTTGGCTGTAGTAGACAATACGTTGCTGTAATAGATGCCATTAGATTATTCTCAAAAGTTGAATTGTTGAATTATTTCTTGAAATGAATATTGTAGATCAAGAGTATTTTGCCAAAAGAAGAAATTGTTTCCACTCAACCGTCACTGTAGTGATTTGGTTGTGATGTAATGCTAATCATTTACCTTATGAAAAGGAAAAATACGTTTTGTTGGTGTTATTTGCTTGTTCATTTTTCTTTATATAAGTTATGGGAAAGCACGCATATTTGCATAGATGTATTTTAATTATGCCCAATCATTATTTTAATTACGTGGCCTTGACATTGAACCAGGAATAGCAAGAGCACTTGTTCATGGAGATTCTCATGTGTCTAAGGAACTATTTTGCTAAAGGGTCTCATCTATGCACAAGCTTATTATTTGAAACTGAGTTTGAAGATTTAAGAGAATTCCAGTGATCTTTCATTTATAAAAAAACAGATTCAAAGTCTGTTCAAAATGCATTATGTATCTCCATATTAAATATCTGATAATGAGAAAAAACATTATTTATTCATTTTTCTTGCCACATA